AGCCGGTTGCGTCATGTGAGTCAGAAAGCAGCAAAACATGTGTGTGAGTAAGATAATGCAAATCTCCAGCATCTACAACTCGACTCCACAGCTTTGTTCAGCGAGAAATACACTGGGAATCCAGCCAGCTGCCACTGGTGTGGTAAGAGGCATCTCAGACACTACATCAGACCCCGATCCAGTCTGCAGGACTGGGTAATTGCTCTCACGTGTTCCTACATTTCTGTTTCTCCCTCTCCAGGAATAGACCAGTACACAAATACCCAGAGCAAAGACGGTGAAACCTGAGGAGCGAGATCCATTTTCCTTCGACGATCTTGGATATCTGTACTCTGCATCTGTTAGATCTCCGAGCCCAAGGGAAAGCCAGTGTCCCATGCAATCCAGTACCATTCAAAGTCATTTAATGGAGCGGCTCCCCTTGAATAGGTTTGCACGCTCGGTGAAATGCTTTTATTTCAGCCATGACTGAAAACTCAAAGGCAGCGAACGTGCCGTCTGCAACTAGATGCATGCAACACCCCACTCGTATCTTCACCTGGAAGTCAACAGCAACTCCCCGCCACCTGGCAGCCCATCCTGGGGCTTCCCATCATCTGTATAATCTTGGTCTGACCGAGGAGAAGCGTTAGAGTCTCACCTCGCTCAATGCACAGGATGGCAGCCAACAAGACGACGAGAAATGTCTTCATCTTTCTCCAGAGCCTCTCGATCTGGGCAAATGCTCCAAGAGCAAATTATATATAATCATTGGAGGCAGCAGCATGACAGGTTTCAGGTGACACACGGGCAGATGCAGATCAAGGGAAGGGTGTGTAGCATGCATGTGGGAGGTTTCCAGGCATGAGTCTATTTGGTGTGTGCTTGCACCCATGTGGAGTCCTTCTGCAGCTCTGGGGTTTTCCCAGGTGCTGAATAGAGAAGGCATTGTTTTTCTTGGCAGGATTTTCCAGCAGAAGCAGCACTATTATTGGAAACCCAAGGTCCAAAACAACCCGGGCTTGTGTCCAGCCACCTCTTTCTCCCATCTTAGTGTTAATGTCTGAGGTTCTCAGCTGGAGCACGCCGGCTTAGCCCCGTGGACGCCGATGCAAGTCAGGCTGGTTTCCACAGGGTCCTCTTCATAGGAGGTCTTCTTCATATTTCAGTAACTTTTTCCTCCTTTGACACCCGCTTCCTGCTCAAACTGTGTGATCCTCTTCCTTGTAGGCCATTAGCTCTGTCCACACACGCATGACTTAATTGATCTGAAAAGCTGAGCCTGAGGTGCCAACTTTGCTTGCAAACAGCATGCACGTTTCCCCCCTAAATCATCCCCTGCAAGCTGGGGCCTGTGTGTTAAGTGAGGAAGTTGAGTTTTTTTGCCCAAATAGAAGAGAGGAGCATGCATTTGATAGCTGAAAAGATTTTTCAGATACATTTTTGAGCCAATAATGTAGAAGGCCAACAACACTCTGGGTTGAATGAACAGTATTGATGCTTGTAAATCAAGGAAAGTGATTCTTTCACTTGGTCCTGTGTCTACCCCTCAAGAAGGATGTGGCTAGTGTGGCACGAGTCCAGCACAGAGCAACAAAAGTTATGGTAGGCCTGGTTCCATCCTGCTGGGATCCTTGCCCTGCAATGCAGCAGCCCTGGTACTACTCTTGAGTCAGTTCCCCATTAATGAATCATTGAGTTAATGGCCCGTTGTTTTTCAATTCACAGGTGTTACAGACCATCTGTTCTTGAACTTCCACTAATGAGGCTAACCTTCCTTAGGGGAATTTTGCTCTGTGCCGGTAAGGGCTTCTGGTTTGTTCTCCTATTTCACAATGCTTTTCAAGGTCAGAGGTCCACCCATAGAGATCAGTCTTCAGCAGCAGCCGGGATTTTAGTTAAGCAGGAAACGGAGGGTGAATCAGCTAAAGATTAGGCTCTGTCCCTGATCTCTGCAGCCGTTATTCTGGGGGAAAAAAGTCCTCATCATACCTTTCAAATACAAGGTGCACGTTATATTTGGATGCATGGTGTATATGAGCAAATACGGTATTAGATGCATTCATTTCTGTTGCCTTGATGATGCTTGATTTCCTGCCAGGTGGATGCACTGCAAGACCAGACCCTAGTTTATATATCCCAAGCCCTCACACACTTAAATCTTGCCTACTCCCGATGATCTCCTTCTCCGTGCAGTTTTCTAGCCCTCTTTGGGAGAGTCCTTGACTCTCTCTCACCCCAGACTGTATATCTGAATTTCTCCCTGCACATCAGTTCTGCCAACCCCACTATTCATGAGTGTCTTTCTCCACTCTGAACTCCTTCAGTCAAGCGGCATCACTCTGGCTAGGGACAGAAGTGACACATAACCCAGTTTAAGTGATGATCAGAAACTGGTTTAAACCTGTAACAGAACATTAGCTCAGTGCTTCTGCCCCCTCAGCAAACCCCAGCTGGGGTCTGGGGCTAGGGAGTGGGGTTAAACACCCCTTCCTTCACTCCTCAGGCTGGCTGCAGCTGTGGACTACAAATCCCAGAGGCACCTGGAAGAGGAAATGATAAGCAACCCTGCAGAGTCCTGCTGCTATAAGTGTGGACTGCAAATCCCAGAGACCTCAGGGGCAGCAGGAAGAGGAAGTGAACAGTGCCAGAGAGCCCTGCTCTATCTCCCCCCACCAGCTTTTGGCCTGAGCCACTGAAGGCCTGTGGCTGTATTTCCTGAATCAACAGTAAATGTCTGTTCACTTCTGTTTCAATTTAATCTCCACATTTTAAACTAACCTGCAAAGACTGAATCAATTCAGCCTCGGGCTTTTTGACTGTACCTAGCCTCTATGGACCTTCCTGGAGGCAAACATATTAGGACTGGCCTATGAAAAACACCATGTCAAATCTGGGCCATGATCCAGGATCAGGGAAGGGCACGAGAAAGCCCTTTCTGGGCAATTATGAAATTCCCTCCCTACTGCTAGCACTGGGTGGTTTGATTAATCCCTGAACATAAAGGATTGTGTCCTTTTTATTGTGTTAAATATTACCTACTTCAGATGATCTCCTTCTCCATGCAGTTCTCTAGCCCTCTTCGAGTCCTTTTGGTGTTACCTGATTGCAAGTAGATACAGTAGGGAACATATCAGAAACCTTGGCATAAGCGGCTCCATCTTAAATACAGACTCTGTTATGCAAAGATTGGAATGAACTTAAGTAACCTTGAATAGGGAGCAAGCCTAGATCCCACGCTTTTCCTGATGTAAACAGGAAAGCATGGACTAAAACCGATAACCATAAGCAATAACACTCATTGTCAAGTCCAACCCTACCCGATTGCCTCTGAAAGGCCATCCTCGTTATACAGAAGTTGAGTGTTTATCACAAATTCTTCACTTAATTTGGGGGGAGGGAGCCTTTATGCTCAACCCCTTTCATTCACATATACCCAATCAGACTGTAGGTAGATGCATGTCATTAATGATTGTATATCTATGATTAGCAACCTGGGGAGGAATAGGGGAATAATGGACCGGAGTTTTTAGGGGAACTGAACAACTACCAAGAGCTCAGAGCTCCTGGGGTTCGGCCTATACCCAGTTTTGCAGGTTTTTGCATTTCCATTGTTTGATCCGAATGCTAGTTAGACTTGTGTTTAGCTTTCCAGTAAAGTGATTCACTTAAGAAGAGACAGGCACAAAATTAGCTCCCTTTCTCCTAATCTGAGGATAACAGGCTTCCCTGCAGATACGCTCTCACAAGATGCTGGAACAACCTGTGCAACTCACTGCCAGATGTTATCGCTGCAGGAAAGAGCTGTGATGATCAGCCACAGAGTAAATCTCTGAACAAATTGCAGCGAGTTAAATGGAAGTGGGGATTTACCTCCGAGCAGTTGATGTGCAAGAACTGTCCATCTCCTGGCTCTTATCCCATGGTATAAGGGAGAGAAACCATGCCAACGTAGTCTTATTTCACTGAGGGGCAAGCTACGGTGGTTGTTTTACTTACTGTGGGGTAAAAGCAGGAAGATGGGCAGTTTATACTCCTAGTCTGGCCTCCTGTATCGCACAGGCTGCAGGATTGCCCTTGATATATATTTAAATGCTCTGCCTTTCAGCAACTGTGGGTGTCGCTTTGTGCTTCTATTTTCTTCCTGATTTGCATTCTCCGCCTGATTCACAGGTTTTGCTATTTTTGCCCTGGCCTCTCTCAGAAGCCAGAAACTGCAAAAGCCAAAAGCATGAGCTGTATTTTGCAGAGGGCCTACGGGCACTTGAGAGTTTGAGAGAGGGATAATCACCAGGGGGTTTCACAGTTCATCCTCTCCTTGGACCAAGGCCTTGTCGGGGTGGAGAGGCGTGTGTGTCTCACCGATCCTCAGAGCTGTCGCCCAGAGTCTCACGCTCCTGGCAGGGTCTTCCACGGTGAACGGGGATGCAACCCCAAGTCTTCAATGGCAGAAGCTGATGTCAGGACCTCAAAAGCTGTAAAGACAGCAGAAGGCTGAAGCAAAAAGGAGGTCTCCTGTTGTCTTGGGTTCTTGCTCGCCCTTGGACCCAGATCTCCTCCTTGCAAAACTGTGTGGCTGCCGTTTCCTTGTACCAGCTTCCTCCCATGAAACAAAGTAACGTGCAGGCTTCCACCACAGGAAACAACACGTTCCCCTCTACCACCCAGACAGTGCGCACATCTGCAAACAGCAAAGGGAAAAAAATTGAATAAGAATTGAATAAGAATTAAAATGGGCTGTTGACAGCACGCGTCAACAGAGGTGGCTCTGCTGATCATGATGGAAAAGGCATTTGCATCACCTTGGCTAAATTGTAGGATCTTATGGATTGTAGGACTGGAAGGGACCTCCGGTCACCTAGTCCAGCCTCCTGCTCAAGGCAGGGTTATCCCTGGCTAGACCATCCCCGCCAAGTGTCTGTCCAACCTGCTCTTGAAAACTGCCAAGGATGGAGATTGCACCACGTCTCTGGGCAGCCTGGTCCAAAGATTGACCAGCTTCATGGTCAGAAAGTTCCTCCTAATCTCCAACCTAAATTTCTTGCTGCAGCTTGCATTGCTCCTAGTCCCATCCCCCGTGGCCAAGGAGAAAAGCCTGTCTCCATCCTCTCTATAATTGCCCTTCATGTATTTAAGAAGTCTGTTGTCAAATCCCCCCCTTCCCCCTCCAGTCTTCTTAAATAGTCTTCTTAAATGGGTCTATTTAGTCTTCTGCAAACTAAATAACCTCAACTAAACTAAATAACTAAATAACCCCAACTCTTTCAGCCTTTCCTCAGCGGTCTCACCTCCCAGGCCTATCATCATTTTTGCTGCTCTGTGCTGGACTCTTTCCACACTGTCCACATCCTTCTTGAGGTGTGGGCTTCAAGACTGGACACAGGACTCTAGGGAAGGCCTCACCGAGTGGAAGAATCGCTTCCCTTCATTTGCAAGCGTCCGTTTGCAGGAGCTGGGCCCACAAACCCAAAGTCACGCGGAGTAATGAGCAGTGTTGTCATTCTGTAGAGTACACACTAGTAACCTGTGCTAATGCATGACTCTGGAAGGATCATTTCTGCTTTCTCAAGAGGTTCAGTTGTGTAACTCAGAGGCAACGATTAAGCAACCAGGCTTGAGAGCAGGTGTGCCCCATCACACAGCCTGAGCTGCTAGTCGTGCTCTCCAGCAGACGCTGCTCTTGGCTTGCAATCATCTCAAATGTCTTGGTTTTATTTGTCTACTGTAGGAGCAATTACTATTAATGTGTCCCTGTTGTTCTTGGTCCTGCCTGGGGTACCGTTTTTGCTTATCGCAGTGCTCTGCTCCAGGCCGGCTCAGACCGTGGGGCCTGGGCATCCTCTGAGTTGGACCTGCAATGGTTTTAGTTACTCTATCAAAAATACAGATGTGCCAACAGCTGCCTGGGGCTCTCCATGAGGCCTTGAACTCTGCCATGCGCCCAGCTGGGATTCTCCATCCTGGATGGGCAGGGAGAGGCGAGAACAACTCAGAGAGGTACCAAGAGACTCAGGCACTGAGGTACCAAGTTGTCTTTCCTTGTGATGCTCACTAAACAAGGAGACGGTGGCTTCCTAGCCTTGCTATGAGGAGAAGAGGGAGGCAAACAGCTTGGGGATAGGTATTTCAAGGGTGAACAAGCAGGAGGGGGAAGGAATGGCTGGAGAAGGAAAAGCACAAGAGGAACCAAGCCAGGAAGTCAGGTCCCTCCGCTGTTTCATCCACATGACACTAATAAAACCTCAGTTTTATTATAACCTCCAACTCAGACCCCCCGTCCTCCAACTCGGACCCCCCATCCCATGCTTCCCAAAGGCTGGGACAGATCTATCGGAGGCTTACACAAAAGAAAAATAATAAATCTTTATTGTGTCCAGCTTCTGTTCAGCACATGACACTCGGAGAAAACGAAGCAGGTGAGTGAAGGGGAAGGGGGCATCCACGTGGAGGTGAATAGGGGTGAATACATTCATTTTGGCCTGAGGGCCAAGGTAGCCATGAGGATGAGGTTACAGGCAGAGGCTGGGGATTCACCCCCTGGAAACCTTTGCACGGAGGAGATGGGATGGAGATCCCTTTACACGGGATCCCTTTATTCTGGACCTTCACAGCCCAGCTCTGAGGACGTAGAGGAGACTGGCCAGGATGCCCGCAGCCATCACGGTGTAGCTGGTTTTCACGCTGCTGGCTCCGCTGATGTTGCACAAGAAGGTCTCGCAGCAGGAGGCAGAAAAGGAGGCGATGCCGATGTTCAGGTTTGTTTCGGGACACAAGGCAGAGCAATACTTGCTAATGCGAGGCTCTTTGTCCTTGCCTTAATTAGGAGAGAAAACCAGGGTGGACAATCAGTGCCTAGGACCCCCCACAGGACTTCTGACCCTCCCTTTTTTTGCTATCGAGACAGTGGTGTGACACGGGTTATCAAGCAATTACCAAGGGACAGACTCTTTCTCAGCAGCTGTTGTACTCAGCTTCTAACCCATCGTGCCCTGATCTGTCCACTAAGGTCCAAGCAAGCCATCATAAGAGCATTACAGTCAGGCCATGGTATGCCGCAATCCTGCAGCAGCCCCAGCTGTTCCACATTGGTAGGTTGGGAGCATCCTTGGCAGAGACTGAACCAAAGCCAAAAGGGACACCAGCCCCTCCAGGGACCTTCCCAGGTTGCAGATGGGGCCTATTGCATGCTGGAGCAGGGATTAGGAGCTGGAGGGATGTTGTGTAGATATCCTTGCAGCGGGGCTAGTTCGTGGTCATGTAGACCATGATTGAGAATGGCTTTCAAGGGCTTCTGGGGACCTGGGTCATCTCACAGCGCCAAATAAGCTACCTTCTAGCTGCTGGGCAAGTATACGGGAGAGATCGGAGCTCAACGCAACCTTCCCGAGATGTGACTGAGACTTACCGAGCCCCACGGTGGAGTGCGTTGTGACACAGTATTTGTCCTCCTTGGCACACGTTTGCGGCTTGAGACAATTCCAGTTGGATTCCTCCTTATCGCATACATAGCAAGTCAAGGAGTCAGCTGTTCAAAGAGCACAAACACACAGCTTAGACCTTTCTAGGAACATCTGCAAACTAGATATGCTAAACGTGAACTCTTGCAAGAAAGGAAGGGCAGGAAAGAGACAAAGTAGGAGGGGCAGAAAAATAGAGCAAAGCCAACATTTTCCATCAGAAAACATAGAGGGGAAAATTGATTAGTTTGACTGTGAATAAAAGGTCAGCTGAAATCATCCATATCAGCTCTTGACTCATGAACGCGATTCATTGCTCATCCCACGCGCTAGCCAGGACTTCAGCCTGATCTCCTTTCTCAACCGTGTGGATCTCAGCTGCCAATCCCTGATGAGATGAAACTGGATCTGCAGGAAAGGTTTTAATAAAGGCTCTCCACTCCCCAGCCGATTCCACAGTAGCTACTCATCCTCTTTCGTTGGAGGAGGCTCGTTAACAGCTATGTACCTACACGTTATATCTTGGCATAAGTTAGTAACATGTTGCATTGCTTAATGATACCTTACAACATTTCAGTGAGCTAAATTAGCAAGCAAGAAGCCAAACTGGAGAGACTCCCATGAAAGAGGTTTCTCTCAATGAAAAGAGGAATCTGGTTATTGCTCCCTGGAGCCAACCAACCTGTGGTTCCCACATCCTCTTCAAAGAGGGGCTTGCATCTGTTGAGAAGACCTACTACAATTCACACCTGACGTTGAACTCATTTTCACAAGCCAGAGAAACACACTTTGAAAAACACGTTGAACTCCAGCACAAGCCAGAGACCACAGACTGCCACTATCCACAGTCCAGCAGGCCACAAATTGCAGCATCCGTCAGTGCAAACAGCGCTATAAAGGCTGCCAAACCTCCCTGCATCCCTGCCCTTCCCTCCCCTGCTCGGTCTCATCTGCATCGGTGACTTACCTGGCTTTGCCCACAGGGCTGCGGCCACCAAAGCCACCAGGAGAAGCTTCATCGCTGCTTTGTCTTCACCACCTGCATGACTGCCTTGCGGGCTGCTTTTATACCTGAGCTATGTTTGCTTTGGGTTGTCATGGAATAATTTGGGGTGTCACTTGAAGTGACACATGCTGGATGGATGAGTGTCCACCTGGGTGTGGGAGTAACCTCTGCTGGCAGTCCCAGCGGAAGTCTCCTTGTTTGTCCTCCTGCTAGTTTTCCTCTAGAGACATCTCCCAGGAGCAAACACTGGTCCATCCAGCCCCCATCTCCAGCAGAAGCCAGGTCGTTACTGCTTCTGAAGATGGTACGAGAAATCCCATCGTCAACAAAAATGGCCTTCCTCCCTGGAAAGTGTCTTCTCCTGCCTCTGCAAGGGGGCTGGATGCGATGACTCCCTTCCAGCCCTACTTCTTTATGAGTTTGTGATCCTTTCTGCCTTGTGTTGGGTTTAGCTTCTGTCCTGTATCCAGAAAGCTTTTCATGTTAAAATAGGAAGCATCACTGAGACATATTTTCCCTTTTTTTTTTTTTTTTTTTTGCATTATTTTGGAAAGTACCTTAGGGGCGCTGGGAGTGAATTTTCTTCAAAAGTTTCTCCTGACAGCATAAATCCAGCCAGGAAGAGAAGGATACAGAGGAGTGGAGAAATTTGTGTTTAATTAGCCTTAAAACACAGAGCCAAAAAAAAAAAAAGGCTATCGAAACTTTGACCGATTGGAAAGCATTTCTTGTCCGACTGGATTTCCCCATGACCTCACATCTTTATTTTCTCAGGGTCTTTATCAACAGACAGTTTTACAAACCCAAGTGTTTCTATTTAGTAAGCCACATGAACTTAGAAAATGAATCTCTTCAAGATGTCCAGAATGATCAACAGATTGAATAGTTTGAAAAAGAAAATTGAGGTCACATATGAAAATGTGGGAAATGAGGAGCAGCCAGACCATAGGTCCACCCACTGACATATCTGGTGATCTGTTTGCATTTTTGCATTTGAAAAAAAAAGGTCTTCAGCAGCTGTAAGTGTCTGTAAAAATAAATAATAGGTTATTCAAGCACTTCTATAAGGTGCTCTACATTTGGTGCACATCTCCTGTCCCACCCCTCCCTGACACCTTTGCAAAGTGAGGCTTGCTCCAGGCTTCCAGCCTTTTTTGCAGCTGATTCCTGCTCCCCTTCTCTTTCTCCTCTCTTTCCTTACAGATGGAAGCATACAATCATAGAAAACGAGGGTTGAAGGGACCTCAGGGGGTCACATCTAGTCCACCCCCCTGCTCCAAGCAGGACCAGCCCCAACTACATCATCCCAGCCAGGGCTTTGTCTACCCGGGTCTTCAAAACCTCCAAGGATGGGGAGTCCACCACCACTCTGGGGAGCCCATTGCAGTGTTTTACTGCCCTCCTCACAAGACAGTTCTTTTTCATATCTAACTTAAACTTCCCTTGCTGCAGCTTGAGCCCATTGCTCCTTGTCCTGCCATCTGCCCCCACTGAGAACAGCCCAGCTCCATCCTCTTTGCAGCCCCCCTGCAGGGAGGTGAAGGCTGCTATTCAATCCCCCTCGGTCTTCTCTTCTCCAGACTAAATCAGCCCAGTTCCCTCAGCCTCTCCTCACCAATCCTGTCCCCAGCCCCACAACCATTTCCATGGTCATCATGGGACCCATGGTCCCCATAGTTGCTCAAAATGGCTCGAGCAGTTTATCATGCCGTATTGCTTTGCAAATTATAGCTGGACCTGCTGCTGGCCATCCCCCCAGTCTCTTCTCCATCTCCCTCTCTTTCCAACTTTTGGTTT